CAAGAATTCAATTTATTATCCTAGATATCAACAATTGACATACTAATGTTATCAATACTTATGCATCAAATACAATAGATCAAAGAGTTGAAATGTGGAACACACTTTTACATCACCTCTTCCATCTCATACCTTTGATTATAGCTAAGAATTTTAATATGACTAAAAAATTCAAAGAAAGAAAAAAAATATCTAACTTTTAATATATAAGAAGATAGAAGTACACAATGTAGAAAAATCTTACTATTAGACTCAATATCAACAGTATTTTTTATATTGATATATTCCAATAAATAAAATAGAAGCAATTTATATGGCACCAATAATATCCTATACCAAGCTACTCAAGGATTGATTGTTTATATGCAAGCCTAGAACTTAACTACAATGGTAGTACATATAGAATATGGCTATACTTATCATATCTATTAGACCAATTGGTAGTATTTTCATATATCTAATATAGAAGAATTAAGTAAAAGAAACAATTGTAATTCAATAAAATATTGGTTTGCAATATAGAAATATAATCATACTTTACTTGTGTATGATAGGACACCATGAGTAACATTAAAATCAGGAATAATAATTTTCATATCACTATGATTCTTGAATAGATAAGAAGAGTCAATATCTCAACATCTTGAGACTAAAAATAATATCATTGCTCCTTCTATAAAGATCAATTAAAAAAAATAATCTCAAACTATTGCTACAAGAAGATTGGTCTAACCTTTTTGTATGAAAGAAATTGGACAATGCCTAAGTACATCTAGAAATAGCCAAAATTACCAAATCAAAAATAATTAAAAATATCTTAATGGTGAAGTGAACTTGATTAGAAAATAATTGCTCTAAAATTTTTTTTGAGTTTCATAGTGAGAAGTGCAACCACACAAATATTTAAGAACTACTAGACAAGGATTGTTACTTCTTAAAAGAAGAAGACATATCAATATACATCAAAAGCTTTTATGCCTTCTTATAAATTAATAATATGCTAATATAAAATAACCAAAGAAAATACAATATCTATCTTAAAAACATCCCAACATATATTATAGCAACACAAAATGCCCTGCTCACCTCTATAATCATATTCAAAAGATTTAATAAATAGCATAGTCACTTCTAAAGAACAAGACTACATGGAAGGATAATTTCTACTAAATTCTTTAATAAGATGTAGAATATAATAGAAAATGATTTGATCAATTATTTAAACTTTTTATTCTAAATTAGCTTTATTTATTATATTCTAAAATAAGATCTATTGAGTTCAAGACCTAAAAGAGGCTTGATTATCAATATTTAGAACTATTATTCCATTACAATGCTTTTGATCATATATAGGCTTACAACCAAAATTCTAACCAACCTTTTCCAACCATTATTACCAAGGTACATATGACTAACATAAATTGGCTTTATTAAAGATATGTACATCATAGATAATAGCTTTATAGCCTAAGAAGTTATTCATTGGACCAAAGAGAGCAATCAAGACCTAGTAAACTTCTTTTTAGACTTTAAGAAGGTATATAACAAAGTCAATTGGATCTTCATATAATAAACTATGAATAAATTAGGCTTTTATAGAAAATAGATTAATTAGATGGCTACTTTATACAAAAAGATCAAATTAGTAGTACTTATTAATGGATATAAAAATAAGAAGTTTAATTTTTTAAAATTTGTGAGGTAATACTATCTACTAGTACCTTATTTTTATTTATTCATTTAAGATATTTTATCATACATAATAAATAATACATGCCATAGAATAGAGAGCTTATAAATACAAGATAGATTGATCTTTTGCAATCAATATTTTATAGATGATAGGTTTCTTCATCTCAAAGGTACTTCTAAGAATTTACAAAATTTATTCAATATATTGAAAGTATTTTATAGAGTAGTAAGGTCTTTGATTAACTAGAAAAAATTTAGAGCAATACGAATCAATAATATACTCCATAAATGGCAATAGGAAGAAAAAAAAAATGCCTTGTATATATACCACAAGATACATCAATTAAATACTTGAGATTTTTCTTTGGTAATAGAATATTATAACATACTAAAGATGTTGTAATCTTAAAATAAATTTTTAATAAGCTATCAATCTCGACATGCCATTATCTCTCTCATTCAACCAAAGTTTTGATTATTAATTAAGTCATTATAGATAAAATTTGGTACTTATCATATTCTAGTAGTATTTACAAAGACATCATTATATAGATCCATACATTGATTTGCAACTTTATATGCATAAATAATCTAGATAAAAGAACTTGAGGTAAGATAGCATAGAATGCAGCTATTACACCTACCATAAAGGATGGCTTTAAGATCTTCAATTCTTTCGAATAAACCAAATTTCTATTGGAAAAGATCATTACAAGGATGCTTCTATTGAGCCTTAAGACTTGATAGACTCTAATACTATCTCACATCAATCAATTCCAATTTCATTAGAATAGAGATTGGAACTAAAACATTGAGTGGCTCTTTTCAATTCTCCACATTAAATCTCAAGAACTAGGACTATGAAAAGAAATATGATATATATATATATATATATATATATAGAAATACAAAGTAGCCTCAGCCAATTTTCAACATTATTACTAACAAAATAATGCCACCAACTATCATATTTGAATATAAAGATACAAATACCAAAATAATAATGATTAGGTACAAAAATTAAATTTAAATATTGAAATCGGTTAAAAAGAGGATTCATCCATATAAGTAATTTATAGAACAAAGAACACAACAACTATCAAAGCACACATAAAATTTAGAACCAAAAAAAATCACAAAGCATAGTATCTATAATAACAAAAATACAATAGGCTATTAAATGGAACTTGGTTCAAAGTGCAACCCTGTTATTAGGCAATTGGACTATTGCATGTTTGAAAAAAAATATATTTTATATTATCAATGAGTCATCCCATGGATAGATCAATACTTATTATAGATATGTAAGAGAGACAAATTACATAGAAGTTAATAACCACAAGGATATTATATTTGACAATGCACTTCACAAAGTACGCAAACTTACAAAATTTGCCCTCAAAAAATTCTTTAAATATAATCTAGTAGAATCTCTTCACTCAAAAAATTTATTCTAAATATGTAAAAATAGGAAAACAAAAATCCTAAAAGTTGATCCATGAGAATGGACTTACATAAAATAATACATAGTTTAAGAAGATCTATTTTTTAATTACACTACAAAGTGTGGTAACTACATTTTTTTCCAAAAAGAAGGGCACCAACTTAATTTGAATCGTACCATGTAACAACAAGGATTCTTATATAGCCAACAAAAAAGATACTTTGAATGACTATGGCATCCATAGATTCTAAGAAAAATTTCAATAGTGACTTGGTCATTCATAGCAAAAGGCCTTCCCATTGGCTCTTAAAAAACATGGCTACAACAGTTGGTTTAATGTTTGTTGTATCCTAAACAACCACTAGAGACTACAAAATATACCTTCTTTTTATATTTGTATGTTGCAAGAGCTTAAGATAGCTGTACATTGTTAAAGCATAAGGTAGAATCAAACGGCCTAAAATTCATATGGAAATTGATCCTCTATAGAACCATGCCTTGCTTTTCCTCTAATAAGACCAACTTATTAATAATATCTTATGGGATGTTGATAGTGTATATTCGGTTTCATAGCATATACTATAGAATATTCTTTAGAAGAAAAATATTTGATATATTTGGTACCAAAAGTATAAATATGACCTTTGTAATGGTTATTTTCATATAAAAGTAGTACTATACAAAACATAACAAATTACTATTCAAGTAGACATAGATGCATAGGCTATACTACAAAAATTCAAAAATAAACGTTATTTAAAAAAATGCAATGTTATAGAAACCAAATTTCTCATAATATAAATAAAAGAATTAATCTTTTCCTCTTACCTCCATTGGTCTTTTTGGAAGCCACTGTCTTATTTAGAATTCTTATCTCATACACTTGCAAATAGTCTTTACTAGACAAACAACAAATCAACAACAACATCTATAAATCAAGGATTTTAAGCACATGCTTTATAGTCCATACATGATATGATACCTTCCTTATTTAACATCATTTTGCGGTTCTCAAAAATACCATCAAAAATTCTGTCTATAGAAATACAAATTGCCATTCTTTATGAAGAATCACACAACTAATATGCCCACACACTAGTAGAAGAGATCTTGGCACAAATTTTGGAAGAAATAGAAGAAGAGTCCATTGTCATAGCTATATCAAACCAAGCAAACTTGCAACATGACACAACAACCCCTTCAAGCACCTCCTGCAAGAAAAAACTATCCAACTCATTCTTTGCTTGTTTAAAAAAACACATTGAAGTTTTAGTCTTGTCGACACCATGACTCTTCCAAAGCCACGTCACTATCAATCCCTAACTCCTTTTAGATCTCGAGGCATCTTAAACCATGACTCATCATTCCAAAGTAGCATACATACACACAATACATGTCAGCAACCAAGCGATAGCCTCACTAGTTATGACATAAGTCTAAACTAGGACAATAAAAATTAAACAACAAAATTTGATATACACACATCTAACTAACACATAACTAGGACATATCCAAGGCTACAACCTTAGAATCTATTAGAGATGCATTGCACAATTTTTTACTAAGATATACCTTCTATTAATATATTCTGATTTTAAAACCATGTAACCATACAATTTCTCTAATTCAAAGCAAAATTTAAAAGTACATATTCATGTACCAAAATGCAAAAATGACTATGCATAGTTCAATTTTGGAATAGCACCATCTACCTATACTCAAACTCATGGATGATAATCCGTGGATGGTATTATTCATGCGTCGGGGTAAGTCTGCAAAAGCACGTTGTCCGGGGTTCAGAGATTGATATCAGGGCATATACCCGGATTCCGTGCACGCAGAATAGGTGCCCCTGAGGTGCAATTGTGAAACCGCGCGCACTCTGTCTCGAATGAATGCCTCGATCCCTCCCTTGCAAATCCTCCCGGACAAGGTCACAATTGTATTGCGGAACTCAGAAACGCATATCCAGGCAACTCCAATCGATCAATCTACTTGAGAATTGACGCCTCACAAGCCGAAGCCGTCAATCGAGGCAGCCTGCCCTGGCCGCATCAGTTCTTGTTTCGTGCGTCGTTGCCTCCACCTTGTTTGCTGCAAGAGGGAGGAGAATGCGATTTGTCATAAATGGTTAAGTCTTTTGGGTGATGAAGTCATCGATCGGATGACGAGTCGCGGTGTTTTAGCTCGTGGATTCTCGTTTGATGATGGGACGATTCGAGTTTGTAGCTTTGCGAACAGAGGAACAGGGTTTTAAGGTGGACGTAAGAAAGCGGTGGTGGGAGGCGTAGAAGGGGATTTAGAGAGCTTTGAAGAGGTTTGCATTGCCAGTGTGCGAGACAAAGAGATGGGGCGAATTGGGCGCCTCTCGGCTGCGGTGGTCAGCCACTTGCGGTCCAACACAGTAGTGTCTAGTTTTGAGCAAGCTGTGGAGGAGCTAATATGCAACAGCTTGGATGCTGGTGCCACCCAGGTACCGTTCTTTGAAGTGGATTGATTTCGCTATTCTGCTATTGCTTTGGGATTTTCACGAAACTAGACTTATGGGTGTAATTGAGAGGAGGTTAGATTGCTTTTGAGATGGGTTGAAGTGTCATCGATCCAGCAGGGAATAATTATATTGTTGAGTTTTCAAGGTGCGTGTACAATTTGATGGAGGAGGAGCGTCTGTGAAAGTGGAAGACGACGGTGAGAACTGCCAAGTATTTTGTGGACTTCGCTGCTTCGTCATTGAGCCAGTCAAGAAGCATTGGTGTAACTTATATGTTTCAGGAGCATCTCCATCCGTTTGTTTGTTTATATCTGTTTATCGTGTGCTCGGCATTGATGCCGTGTTTCTTCAACACTTCTGTTAGAAGTATTTTTTAGTAACTGTGAGAGATGCATTAATGTGGGCGACATGCAGGGCACGGTATGTCCCGAGAAGATTTGGAGCTTGTCGGTTTGAGGCACGGTAATTCTTGGCATTTTCTTTTCATTTAATATATATTTTTAGTATCGACGTGGTTTTTAACGTCTAACTTTGGCTGTAGAATTTCCATGATGTGCTCATTTCCATATGCTCGATATTAGATGCTTTATTGGAACGGGCTCTAGGCCAACTTCTGCTAATGACATGGTAAAATTTTAGCAACTTCGAAGCTGCATACGCTGGATGAGCTAGCAGCGGGAGTTCAGACATTGGGATTTCGTGGAGAGGCTCTGAGTTCATTGTCGGACTTATCTATTTTAGAAATCACATCCAGAGTGCAAGGCTGTCCTCATACCTACTGTAAAATAATGAAGGCAAGCTTCCCGGGGCTTTACAGGTTGCATTGTACCAGTATGTTCTGAATCTCGTAGGTTTTCTCAACTGTATGAGTCAATTCACGCGCAATGACGTCGACCGCAATGTACTCACTGTCATGATTCTTTATTTCTTTGAAGCTAAAGGGAGTAACAGTTGGTTGTCATTTTGGCTCTGTCGGATTTTGAGCGCAATAGTTCCAATTATTCCATTCGCTGGCACTATTCTCAACAATTTCGTGGATCGTGAATCATTGACAGGGTAGCAATACCGTTTCTCTGGGGCTTTCAAGTCAACAAAGATCAAGAGGCACAACAGGTCTTTCATGCTTTCGTTGTTGTTAACCCTTGTCATTTGAGTTTTTTAGTAGAAGTAGCTTTGCTTGGTAAATTGACTCGTAGAGAATACGTGGCAATCTCCTTTCGTAGTCTTTATCACAAATCCTCTGCTAGAGTGTATCCCCCATTTGGACGATTTTAACTGACAAAGCGAAGCTGCTGATGAAGAGTGTACGCAATCTTTCGATATAAATGGGTGCTCAATTCTTCCAATCGTCCTTTGACTCAGAGAATATTGTGCTTGTTTTCAGTCACTTTGCGAGATATGTTCTACAATCAACCTGTTCGTAGAAGGCTATTTCATTCCAGGTCAGTTGTCCTTCTCAAACTCAGAATGATGAAGATTTTAATATATTTGATAATTGCGCTCATTAATGAATGATCTTTGGGTAGCAATTTAATAAATACATACAATAGCGTGATTAGGACGCAATCAAGTTAAACACTGCTGGTCTTATTTTAAGCCAGAATGCCGCGTTTACGTTCGCTGTTAATTTGCCTTGGTGCTGTAGCTCTCGCAAAATACTGCAGTCTGTGAAGGAACGAATCGTGCGCTTGGCCCTGGCTTATTTCAATGTCACTTTCATCTTAACAGACTCCCTAAGGTATGTTGGGTCAATTCCCTTGTGCGCATATATTAAGGGACTTGTCATAACATGGAGGTCAAGGCCACCTTCTATTGCAGAAAATACTGCAACTCATTCAACTTCATTTTGACCCGTATTGATGGTTCTAAAACAACAATGATATTTACTTCTGTTTGTAGACATACTGAATGGGGTTGGAATTACTTGAGCTCAGGGTGGAAGAAGAGTTGCACATACGCCGTCACACGTCTTTGTACAGCACTCTCCAAGATGTCTTTGGTCGCGAGTTTTGTCATGGACTGAAAGAAATAGACTTTGCCAAAGGCAAGCTAAGGCTCACGGGTTTCCTCTCCAGTACTGAAACTTACACCTCTTTGAAGGTTTTTACAGACCCTTCTCACTTGCTAAACGCTACACCTTGTATTCAGAGATTTTCAATAAAGCTTTGGTTCTATAGAGATTCCTGTTGTACTGATACTTTGTTGCATCATTTTCAGGCCGTACAATATTTATGTATCCTGCTTCATCTCCAATTTGGCTCAAGAGATAAAATCTTATTTCCTACATTTTTGAACATGACAATGGACTGCCAGCTTAGTAACAGATACGTAAGACTTGAATGATGATTCTTATTATCTCTTCAGAGTCTTTTATCAATCGTCTGTTTGCATATTTTCTTCTTTAACGAATAAATAGATATCAATCATCGATTTGTCTACAAAACACCTCTTCATAAACTCATAAATCGTTGGGGGAAAAATAACGCCCGCTCAGCTGGTGGAGAACCAAAAAGGATCGAGAAGCTAGACACCTCGTTAGGTAAAGCAGCTTACCCTGCATTTGTCTTGAACTTGAGCTGCGAGCTGTCGGAATACGATATAACCTTTGAAGCAACAAAGACTTACGTGGAATTTAAGGTGACTCTGCAACTTCCTCGAATGATTTTAACGCTCTGCTGCATTTTTTTCAATGATGATGTTTGAGCTACGTTTGTCTCGGCTTCTTGACTTATTAAACACTGCCGATGGGCAGGACTGGACTCCTGCACTCACGTTCCTGGAAAATGTGCTCTGTGTAAGCTGGGGAGATGAAGCAGAAAAGAGACAAGGTGGGGAATGCAGAATTTAGTCACGACGTGTTCTCCCTTTGCTATTCATTCATGTGCAGTTGATTGGTTTGATGATTACTCTGTATAATTAATTGTTCCTGTGTTGCGGTGGTATTCGCTTGCTGGTGGAAACAGCAACCCATGCAAGTGGAAAGCGAAAGTCTTGGTATACAAATGGTTCTGGTAATGAGACAGAAATCACGTTGAGGAGGAAGCGTGCTCGCACCCATACAGTGAATGAATCAATCAGTGCAGGTCTGTTGCAAGCTGATTCCATAACTGTGCCAGAGTTGGGCTGCAAAAGTTTCGAGAAGGAGAGAAATAAGGATACAGGGGAATATATTGGAGGAGATAGGTTTTCTAATTATCACCATAAGAGTTATCTTGAAAGTGAGACCTTTCGCACTCCGAGTTGGGGACAGTTGGCTAAGCCTGGTCATGTGAATGAAGAGGAAAGCTGGCTAGATCAAGAGATGAATACTCCACTGCGTATGAGCATGAATCGTGCATTAGCGCATCCATTACTGGATCGTCCGTCTCCAGATGTGCTGCTTATGGGCATCCCAAAAATGCAGGATATTTCAATGGCCTCATCACCGATTTTGAGTGAAGGAAGCTGGGATGGCAGATTTAGTGTCTCTCAGGGGGTTGATGATTTCCCAGAAGAAGTGAACACTGAAAAAGATCAGGACATAGATTGTGGACAGCTCCAATCTCCCAAGCATAGTTTGGACTCCAGCGAAAGTGATATTTTCTTAGACATGCCTCGGCCTTTGAGAACCAAAAAACCTTCGAATTCACCTCCAATCATGGAAAGGGATTCTGGTTCTTTGATACCTTCGATGGGAGGAAATCTAAATGAATGGGCGCTTCCTGCGGTTACATCCTCGATGGACGTGTCGCTTTTACCTTCTGGATCATGGAATGATTTAGATCCGGATAAACCTCGTGGGTCTCCTAATACAGAGGACGTGACCGCATATTATTTTTCAGATGATGAAGAGGTTCATCCTCATAGTGATTTACACATGTGGTCTGACAGATTAGAAAGGTCAGATCACGGCGTCAGTCTAGTGGACGATTTTACTCCAGAAATATGCCGGGAGTGGAATTCTTCACGTAAAAATGCTCCCTTGACACTCAGAATGTCTATGGCAGTCGTTATGTGGGATTTGTTTTGGTTTGTCTGAGGGGTTAGATTTCACATGGCGGTCCGCTATCACCAGAATGTTGATTGCTTTCCGTGTGATATTTGTTCAGATTATCTGCTTCTTATATTTGGTTATGGATACAACCTGGGTTGCTTCTCGTGTACTCTACTGATGGAAATTATTTGTGAACTTCGCAGGCAATTCTCCATCTGCATGTAACACCGATCATTTGGCTAAAGTGGGCAAGGTTCATGGAAGAGTTTTACAGGGAATAACCAGTATCGAGGAGGTTGATAATATCGTGCAAGAACATCTTTGTCAGCAAGGTGGACTTTCCCTCATCACATCTCCTGGATGCTATGAATTGGAATTGATAGGAGGGACTAAGTTGGAAGACTCAGTTTTTTTTCTGTATTTGTCTAATTGAGTTTCTAGGTTGGTTAAGAAACTATTTTGTAACTGTGTATTAGTTTTTTCTTATGTTTTCTATCCAGCAGAATGGACTTGCACTTCTCCTGCAGTAGCACCTGACCATGACCTAGTGCTCCCCAAGTCCCGACCGACTGAAAAAGAAAGTATTCACCGTGATGTGGATGTGACACCAGTGGCTTCTTTGTACGAGGTAATATGTCAGGAAAATGTCATGTGATTGTACCGTGTTGTGTTTACTTGAGCATCCTAATACGTGTCTCATACTTCTATAAATGGGGTGCTACTTTAAACAGGTTTGGTCAAATCCTTGCATGCGGGCAAACACAAATGATATCCTCCATGTTTCTGCTGTTACACTGAAGTCTTGGAGCAAGTCCCTGCAACCAGATATGGTTACAAAGAAGAGTCTACAACATGCACGTGTTCTTCAGCAGGTGGACAACAAGTTTATTGCAATTGTTGCACAGAATGTTCTTCTTCTGGTTGACCAGGTTCGGAAGTGCATCTTCTTGGCGAAGTTTTTGAATATATTTTTCTCTTTCAATGGGCTACCTCATATTTAGATGTGGAGCTCTTGTTGGTTAAGCTCTTCGCTGTAACATGGATTTACAAAATACAAAATCAGGGAATTTGGTTTACCTTTTCAACATCGTTCTAAGTTGTCGCCACCCCATTTTGGCTAGCACGTGGTATACTCTGAATGATGAAACATGTCGTTTCTGTCCCCTTCACTGTGTCCTTGAAAGTCGAAGTTTGATATTTTGACAAATATTTCCACCATTTGTGAAGGCTATTTAAGACGTGGTTCTGCCCTTCGCTCTTCCTTTCCATGGATGTATTAGGTCTTTATACATTTGTTTTCATGGGATTGTTTTTCTTCTCATGTAGCGCGGTGATGCAAGCTAGTTTATACGTTAATGCAAGCTCTTGGTCGCGTTTTTTCACAGCATGCAGCAGACGAACGAGTTCAATTGGAAGAGTTTCGAACGCAAGTATGACCTATTTGTTCCTTATCTCCTTGAGGAATATTCAAACCTCTACGTTAATCATCTTGAAATTATATTAGCCAGGTGAACAGGATATATGTAGAATTACGTGAAAGAGTTTATTTATTGTGTCGGATGTAATTGGATTTTTTAGGTGTTAGCAGCAGGAAAACAGCAATGCAGCACGCTCTTGGATGTCAAACATGATCTGGTACACTTCTGAGCACTTTCTCTGAGTGATTTCATGGAGTATTCATTTGAGAATTGGCCGTTGAGAATCATGCATGAAGAATTCATTTTTGCAGTCACTAGGCCTTGGAGAGCAGCAAACACTGCATGCATACCGTCAACAAATTGAGGATTGGGGCTGGCGCTTTTGTACTGCTTCTGATGCTCGTAGTCTCGACAGGACTTCGTGAGTCCCCTTCAACCATCATACTATTATGACCTGGAGGAAAGAGAATTTTGCTATGTGTATCATTATTTCTGAAGACATAAACTAAGAACGAATAGACCTTCTTATAGTTTTCTGCATCGCTTAACTGTCAAATTTTTTATTCTGTGATGCTGCCAACTGTATCTCACTGTATGGTGGTGTTGTAGAATAAGAGGTTGCGACAGCACAACTTGCAAACTTCAACTCAGTGCAGTATGTTATCTTCCACTTCGTCCTTAGTATTGGCATTTCATGACATATTTTGTAGTTCCCGATACTCTGTTACTGTATTTAAGAGTTCAAATGCAGCGCAGGTCCCCTGTATACTAGGAGTAAACTTGACCGCAAGCGATCTAGAAGAATATCTTCAGCAGGTTTGATTCTACTGTGTGACCTTCTCTTATGGTGCAAAGGCTTATATGTGTATATATATATATATATATATATATATATATATATAACGTTGTGTTACCATTTGTATATATTCATTGAAGCATATCTGGCTTGCAGCTCGGAGCAACTCAAGGGGCTTCTGTACCTCCCCCTGCGGTGATCAGGCTGCTCAATTACAAGTCATGTCGAGGTATATCACTGTTGCGTTCAGAGCGAGATTAAGTTTAGAGAGTGCGTTTTGCTCCCGAAATTCTCCACGGTGTTGCAACCTTAATTAGTGAGGAGAGCATGGGAAGCTTTGCGTTAGCCATCCAGCAGATGCTCGGTTTAGATTGTGAAGCTAGTGACTTCGTGAAGCTGATGAGCTAGTTTATTGAATAAGTTCGTCTACAATCACCAGGTGCAATTATGTTTGGAGACCCGTTGCTACCTGCGCAATGTCGTCAGCTTGTCAGTCACCTCAAGCACACTTCTCTGTGCTTTCAGGTTTAACTTCGTTCTCTACATCCAACGAAACATGTAGTGCCTGTATTGGAAGTCTAGGTTCTTTCTTTCTCTGGTGATTTTCAACGTAATTTTTAAGTAGGATGCTAATTCTATGTACATTTTCTCAGGACTATGCTTCGTCTTTGGCGGCATTTAGTTCGAAAGCTACTCCTATGCTTTGTCTAATCAATGATTTTTGTCTCTTTGTGACGCTGCAGTGTGCACACGGTCGACCCACAATGGTTCCTCTTGTTAATCTTCAAATTCTTCGGCAACGGACTGAATCCCAAATGACTAATGATGGATTCATTACCACTAATACATCAAGAGGCAACATTCCAACTGCTTCTGGAGCCTGTTGGCATAAGTTGATGAAGCATCCCCTTTCTCTGGAGCGAGCTCGTGAACGTCTCCATTGATTCGAACACAACTGATCTTTCATGAATTGTTAAATGAGGATTGTGAATAATTAACCAATTGATATATTTAAGAACGTCTTTAGCAACAATTGCTCTTACTTGATTGCACCTTGTCAGTTCCTTATCATGTAAGACTGGCGGGTCAGATGTAGAATTCATCTTAACGTAGATAATTTCTATACTGTATATGTATAGTAGGCTCAGTTTGTGCTTTGTAGTTAAGAATGTATAGGCAATGTACAATATTTGCAAGTTTTTAAGGATTCTTACTTGGTAATTGCCATGAACGGAGAAAATTTATTTATCAGGCATTTCTCGTTGCCTACCAAAAGCCCCGACCGGCGGGCTGTTATGATTTGGGAGATTCAGGGTTTTTGGTAATCCACACAGTAGAAGCACCTCTCATTCAACGTCCTGGATCATGAAAGCAGTGTGTATGCACTTCACTTGCCATGCTTTTGCCAGCTTCACGAAGTCTCTAGCTTCACAATCTATCCATTCTGTTTACAACTACCCACAACTGCTGTGATGGCTTTGCATTGGCAGAAATGGTACACCACTATCTATCAAAGCAGATGTGACATTGACAGAGTAAAACATGTTCTTTTGAAAAAGCTGGACAATCTAAGCACTTAGCAAGAGATTTTCATACTACTGACAGAATGTGAAAAATATCTAACCTAGTGGTGAATTAGTTACCTCTCAGATAGTGTGCATTGTGGAACAAAGATCTGGGCATGCAGAACAGTGTTAGATGTTGAGAATTTCTAATGTCACAAAAATACTCCAAAGTAATATTTTTTGTAATTAAAGATGAGTCTTTAAAAGATCCTTCTTAGGTCAGGAAAATTTAATTAGTGAAATAAAAGAAAAAATTATACAAAGATGGAAATGAGTATGTATTTAATATTATACTAAAACCAAAAAAACAAAATGGTAAATTAAAAATGGCCTACAAGATTATGTACAGAATGTGAAGTTTTATAATAGTCTAATTGTGACAAGATCTTGCTAAGAAGCAAGGTATTGGTTTGGAATTTTTATAAAAAGAACTCATAAAATTCTTGCAGCATTCATGGAAAGATTCCAACTAAAAGATAATTTTGTTGATCATATTGCATACGGTTTGTGGTTTATGATATTCTGTACCGTTGCATCATTCAAAATTCGAGAGCTTAACATGAGATTTCATCATTTAATGCGACGTTGTTTCATAATGACATTTGTTATGTTACTTGTATGTATGCATGAATGAGTGTATGAGTGTATGTACATCTGTACAAAAACATATGACTCCAAAAAATCATCTTTTCCGCTGGAACAAATGTGTTTAATTATTCATCCAGAAGGAAAACTTTACAGCTGGTACCAGTCATGTGTACAAAACTTAAAATACGTCGGCAATACGGCCTTTCGCTTGCATGAAATCAGGACGTTCGACAATAGTATGCCCAGGTGTCGATAAGGATAGTTTATTCACGAAAATATCGGCTATGGTGACTTAGAGTTCCGCGAAAGTTTAAAGTCGCCAGGGAAGGATATTTAAAGAGGTCGCACGAAAAGTTAGCACATTCGGGTCAGACCATGGAACTCGGGGTGAAGAAGAGAACCTTAATAACAGTAAAACCCTGCATCACAATCCCTACTTTGAGTTTTTGCTCCACTCATGCACTATGATTGGGTCTATTTTGTCTGTCCTGAATCATTGCTCTGAACCCCGGTGTAATGATTCGTCATACTGAGATCTATGGGATGATGGAAGACAGCCTTTCAATTGGAGCTCAAAACTCGAGTAGATTCTCATCAGCCCATAATAAATCCCTACAAAGCATTGATCTGGGAATAACTTAACATAGCAACTCAGTAAAAAACTTGTCCAGAGAATCCCAAAAGCACTACCTAGTAACTACATTCCGACCTCCACCACGGAGTGCAGTCTTACAAGGAATAGTACAAGTATACGTTGGAACATCGAGAGGTAATAACACAATTACAAGTTCTGCCTCCAGGGAAGATTGCAGCTTCAACATCAACTTCTCTGGTAGAAACGTTGTGATGCTACAAGTATACATAAATCTTCCTCCGGGTGTATAATTGCCAGATGTTCAACTTCAAGAACCTGGCAACCTACTCTTCAAAAATCTGAATATCAAACGAAACCAAATAGTGTCAGCAAGCAGTGATACCAGCATCACAAGACAAGGTTAGTAATTCAAAAAAATGAATTACAAGAACCATCAGGTCTAACTTAGCCATTCAGTGTACTTCGGCTCACCGTGGCTGACCCATATTTCAAAAGAGAAGTATTTGTATTATTAAAAAAAATAAATAATAATAAATAATAATAATTACTGGCAATTACGGTACAAGTTAACACAAGACCAGGTGACCGCCTAAGTTTATAAAGAACAGACTTGCACTCACCCTCAATGAATTGGATGCTAAGCTTCATCATCTGAATCTACTTTTTGCCGTTTCCATTTATATGCAGCGTCCAATATTTTAAGATTTGGAGCCATGCCAGTTTCCTCCGGAAAGATAAAATCGGTATACTCCTCGAAACTGCAAGTAATATACCCACAAAAGTCAGGGTGAAAACCCTTAAAGCCTTTGCAGCATTCCATCATAAAAAAGAAATTTTATGAAAGTGTTTGAAAGCCAACATAATACAAACGCATTTTCCTCGCTGAAGCATACGTATCAGACGAACAGAAACTTGTTAATCTTGAAACCATTTGATGTAATAAGGCTGTCCAAAGTTAAGGAATAGAAACAACAGAAGGAAATCTTAGTGGAGCAAACTTGCAATGAAAAATAAACCAAAGATTCGATTACAAAAGAAGACATTGGTACATACCCAGCAGCCGTCCCATCCTCTGAAGTTACTGGACGCTTTCGTTTCACTTTCCGTGGCAATTTCTTTTGAACAGCTGCAACATCTCCAAACTCTCCAAAGTTGCGTTCTGTTTCCTTCCATTCTTCTAGCAACATGGCTCTCTCTTCTTTTTGTTCGGGAGCTATTGTTCGAAGGCTGTCGTATGCCCTTTCAAAAACACCTAAAAGATAACAAAATACATCATTTACACGAATACGCACTCTTGTGCTCTAATTAAAAGTACCTGCAACTGAATATAATCAACGTGAGCAAATCCTCATATGAACCAAGAACCATTTCTGGTCTTCATACAATAAAGTACAGCATGAAACAGGACATTTACACATATAGCATTACTTCTTGTTCTTCGAGCTCGCTCTTCAGCTTGTTCAGCAGCCTTGGCCATATCAGGTTCCCGGCCTTCTTCATCCGCACGAGCCTCCTCCTCCAGCTGCACTGCTGCCTCAAATTTGGCATAACTAACCCAAACTTTCAAGTGCTTTGTCCGATCCAAGAGCCTCTCATAGAGCTGTCGTGTGCGGTCATGCTCCCCCTCAGAAATCTCAAATTCAATGTAGCCCTGAAATTATAAAACATAATGTCAGCAAATCCATGTTTGTATATGCCAAAAAAATTCATAACAAAAACTACCTGAAACTGATATAGTCATCGTACGATCACTTGAAAGGAAAATTAAACTGATCTACCATATGTGTCTATCTCAGCTCTTTTGATGAAAGTCACCAAAATGATTCAATTTCGGTACAAGAGCAGACGAAAGAAGAATCATTTTAGGTTGGAAGACTGCTAATACGCGATTCTTCGCTTCTTTCTAGTTCTTATTTTAAGAAATGAAATGAAAACGACAACTACACCCGAGCATGTTAGAATCTACCCAGAAGAATTATCCAACTGCGTTAGTAGTATGTATGATTCCGTGTACAGATGAAAAACGCAAGATCAATACAAGAACAATAGCACTCCTAAGTGATAAGATGACCAGTAAGGTCAACACCTAGGGATCCCTTCACGAACAAAATCGACCCCACCCACCTTCCATAACAACTCAGGCATGTCAAGAAGTGGTTGTGCAATAGCAATTTCAAAGATTGAGCGCCCCCTTTCAGTCTCTCCTAAAGACCTCTCCAGCTCGGCATATTTACTCCATGCATAACAATTAGCAGGTGACCACTCCAGATATTTCTCATAAAGAGTTCGACAACGGTTAATGTTGCCGAGCTGCAATTCAATTTCGATGTATGTCTTGAAAATCTGTTTCACGCAATAAGGAATCAAATCAACATCAAGGATAGTTATTGGAACACTCGAAAAGGCCTTTCAGCAGTTCAAGTTTGCAATTAACCTGTGATAGTAATTTTTCCTATCTTGAGGAAATTGTCGGCATGTAGGGCATACTCAGTCCAGAAACTATGGTAGCACAGGCAGGGGGGGGAGACAAAGACACAGAAAGGATCAGCTTTAGACAAGCACCTTGTCTTTTGGAGCCCTCCCAATAGCATTACCCAAAATAGTTCGTGCAGCTTTAAGATCTTTCTGCCGAATCTCAAATTGAGCTGCCATAATCCATATCTTTGAAAACGTGAACTTTGAATGCGGAATGATGCTCAAGCACGCCCTGCGATATAAACAAACAATTAGAAGAGGTAACGAGATCTTGCAACAGACGGAAGCGACTTGGGCACATGGAACAGAACGTCAAGAAAGGCTGACGATATGCATGTTCAACAATAGACGTGCAGTGACATACTTGAAAACATCCCGAGTCCTGTCATAATCTTCGGCCTCCAGCTCCTCATAAAGAGCATAGTTAATCCTAGAACCAAGAAGTCGAGGTCAATAAAATGTTGCGGTCGCCTCAGGGTTGCAAATGTAAAAATAATTTAACCTCGAGTGAAATGAAAAAGACAAGTAAAACCCGACCGGCCAGACGTCAATCATGTGTAACAACAATTCGAGTCTGAATATAGAAATATGGGGAATGATGACTGAATGTACCAAAGATAAATGTAACGTTGCCAGTATCGCTTTTGCTCTGCAGGGGGTATGTTAGCAATAGCTCTCTCGTAAACCTCCCGAACCTTTTCCTTATCCCCGACACTTTCCTCCAGACGAGCATAGTCGAACCACGAGTCATAGTTCAATGGGTTTTTCTTCACCTCCTCTTCATATTGAAATCGTTTTTTCCCCACAACTACATTCTCAATACCTTCTCTATCACCATATTGCTTTTCGAATTGGACAAACTTCTGATACAGGGTCTCAGCCTTTCCCTTCGGAATGTGATCTAAGGCATACTTGTAAATCACTCTCGCACGCTCCGGCTCTTTGCATCTCTCTTCGAATTGAGCAAAAGCCACAAAAAGTTCCTCAGTCTGCCCATCTTCACCCAACTGCTCCATGGCACGCTCGTAGCATTGCCTTGCTCTAGAAATGTCTCCATTCTTCACTTCAAATTTTGCATAACGAATCCAAGCTTTATCACCAGGATGGCATTCCACGTACCTACATCAATAAGTAAATTGAAATGTTCGTAATGCACTTAAGACAAGCCAAGTAACTAGAAAATAGTGCTTGCGGTCGCCTCAAGATTGTCTCGCTACGACGATGATAAATGACATTGACTACAAGCAGTCATTGAATTTGCACTTCACAACACTGCCAGACAGTACCTACAAAAGGGCACAAGTTCATGTAATACGTACCTATCATAAATCGACCTCGCCCTCTCGATTTCACCATATCTAAGCTCGAACTTGATGTAAGCAGCCCAACCATGATGATCGGGCTCCCATGTCATCCACCTCTCAAATACTTGCCGAGCTCCAGCTATATTTCCTAACATCTCCTCCATGTGAATATATTTGTACCAAAGCTGATCGATTCGAGGAAGTAAAGACACAGCGCGATCCCATACATTTCTGGCATGGTTGACAAATTTGTTCTTCATTTCCATCTCCGTGTACTTGAGCCATAGTGTGGCGTTGGTATAATCCACTTCTAAGGCCCGTTCCCAAATTGACCTTGCGCGAGGAAAATCCTTCTGACTCTCCTCCCATTGCGCATACTTAACCCAAACACTAGTGTTCCATCTCACTCTCCGAATTAGGTCTTCGTATTCTTTCCGCTTCCGCAGTCGATACTCTGCGAGCTCCTCCGCATCAGTGATTTTCTGCTTAGGGGGTCGGATTTCAGCTTCTTGTCTCTCTCTGGCCTCACGCAAAATCTGCTCAGCAGTGATTTGCAAAGGGGCAGGGGTTTTATTCTTCACTCGCGTGGGACGAGGCAGCTTCACCTCCGTCTCCTTCCGAGTGAGAAACCCCAGAGCCGGATCAGCGTCCTTGTTACTAGGAGGCTCATTGTACTGCGTGAGCTCCATGACGACGGACACAAAACCCTAATCCCACTCAACGGGGGAGAGGGGGGGGGAGGAATATATATGTATGTATATAAACTGTGTCTAGTTCCACAAATGCACAAAACCCCTAGAGGAACCCTAAGAAAGAAACTAAGAGAGAGAAGGAGATAGAATCACATATTGTCATGTCGGCATAAAAATCGATGAAGAGCAGGCAATCCGGGCAGAAGGGACACTGACACAGATACACAGAGAGTGGGAGGGTGAAAATTGCGAGAGGAAGGGAGATAGGGAGAGAGACGAGCGAGGACAAGCCCCATTCCAACACCAACGAACAAACAAACGAATGAAAGAACAAACGAACGCCCTTGCGAGGAGGAGCAAAGGAAGACGAGTGCAGTGCAGTGCCCCCGTCCCCTTTTCCACGTGGACGCTGACGTGGATACCCGACCCGACCCCCGCCCTCCGAAGATGATCCCACATTTTGACATGTGTATGTATATAGATATATATATATACGTGTGTGTGTTTGTGTGAAAATATATATATATATATATATATATATATATAATTATTAAATATTCAATTGATGATTTAAAATTATTGTAAACATGTTCTTATCATTCAAAAGTAAAATAAAACACTCACACTACTTTGTGCATGTGGGAGTTTATATATATATATATATATATATATTAAAGTTAAAGTTTGAAATATGAATCTAGGATTTCAAATTATTCATGAAAAAAATACTTATGTAAATTAAGAATAAATGTGTTTTAGAATAATTTATTTTTTAATCAAGTTGGAATTTCTTGAGGCTTTAAAATAAGTAAAATAAAATTATAAAGTGATAAGTTGTTAAAATTATGATAATCATAATCAAATAAAATATTTATGAATATATATATATATATATATATATATATATATGATTATGCATGTATGTATATATATATATATATATATATATATAATAAAAACAAGTAAGTTCAATCATTTTGTTAAAAGTCAAATCCATTTAACCAACTTGATGTATTTTTTGTATCACAAAGAATAATTCTAACTTCTTTTAGATCTCAAATTTTAACAAGTAAATTCATTAATACAAGTATATAATTTTTAAAAGTTACAACTTGTAAATTAAAGATTTTATAAATCAATTCAAAAAAATCTAACATTTAAGATTTTTTTTAAAAAGTTTATAATATTTGAATAATATTATTATATTATAATATTTAAATTTTATAATAAAAATTAATTGAAAAAAAGATTAAAATTTCCTTCTATTTCATCAACTCTGTTCTTTTGTCTCATTCATTGAATCATTACCAATCCTCTTAATTAAACAATCAAATACTCTATTTATGAGGCATAACTATTCAAATTTTCATAACTTGTACTATATATATAGACTTATATACATATATATTTATTTATTTTCTTTTCATAAAATATTTTTTAAAATAATAAATAATATAGCTTAAGATTTCAATTAATTTTTAGCTATATATATAAACAAGAATCATGAAGTATAAGAGTAATATTGCTTTTTACAAAATGTAAATTAACAAACATGAAATCAATAATAAGTACAAGACAATAGGTTTGAGTGAATAAGACACTGCAGTAAATACAATATCAGAATATAATATTTTTGTATTGCAAATAACGACAAAATTTTATTTCTAAAAAAAACCCAAAAAAAAAAAAAAAAAAAAAAAAATGTTCTAATAATTCTTCTAAAACATATAAACTTAAATTTTCTTTTTTGGCAACAAACAATCACAGAAAATAATATTGAGTTTTAAAACCTATATATTTAGCTACCATAGAAATTGAAAGAATCATATCTTAAATTCAAGAGATTCATCAATCAAGTCTAATTTGATATTAAATTGCATATTTAAAAAACATTATTACAAAATTTAACTATCAATGTTTTTTAGAAATTTATTTTATCCAAAGTACATAATTATATTAAAAACAAAAATTATATTTAAAATTTTCAAAATTATTTTTATAATTTAATTCTGTAGAAAATAAAAATAATTATTTTGAGATACTTGATGAAATTTATATTTTTACTATAACAACTGTTCAATTTTTGTAGATGCAATATAATTTTTATTAAGAAAACAAGTACTTAGAAGACACAACACTTAGCATCAGCAAGGTTGCATACAAAGAGAGTATGGAGTAAGATATCTCTCACTTCCAACACCCATTACTTATAGGTGGTAGTTGCTGTCCTAAAAGACAACGTCCACTCTTTGACTTTTACACACATGGCCCTAGGATCTTTTTGGCATTTCACGAGTCCCAAGAGTATCTTATGTCCAATACTAATTACTCTTACGTCTTACACACATGCTCTTAGGATCCTTTGGCATCTCACAAACTATGAGGATATCCTATGACACACACTAATGACTCATACTTAGTCTTTGGATATTCCCTTGTTAATACTTTATCCTTTTGACTTTGACTCTTGGTCCATGACTTCGTCCTATATCCATTGGATGCCCTTACCATATACCAAGAGTCAAACCTTTGACCACTAGCAACTTACCTAAGGTAATATCCTATACAAGATAACATTTTCTACTTTTATTTTAACACTCCCACTTTGCTATTGGTCAAATGCCTTTTAAGCCTAATGCCTTTGTCAACATGTGGTGTCTATCTTTTACTAATGCCTTTGTCAACAAATCAGCAAGCATGTCCTCCGTTGCACAATACTTCATATCAATCACTCCCATTTCAATCTTCTCTCTTATAAAGTGATGTTGAATGTCAATGTGTTTGGTCCTTGAATGATGCTTTGGATTCTTTGCAAATACAAGACATCTTTGATTGTCACACTTCATTGGAGTTGCTTCCATTTCCACATCTCCAATGTCCTCCAAAAGTTGTCTTAACCATATTGCCTCCATTGCATCATGGCTTGCTGCCATATACTCCGCCTCCATTGTTGACCTTACAATTGTTGGTTGTCTCTTGCAATTCCATGAAATTACTCCGACTCCAACAAAGAATACATACCCCATTGTTGACCTTCTATCATTTGCATCTCCAGCCCAATCCGCATCACAATAACCATGCAAACTAATGTTATCACCTCCAAGGCATAATTTGAAGTTCAAAGTGCCTTTTAAGTACTTCATGATCCTTTTGATGGTTGTCCAATGGATTGGTCCAGCCTTTGACATGTGTTGACTCACAACACTCACCACATATGCAAGATCCACCCTTGTGCCAACCATTGCATATATAAGTGAGCCTACTACTGCCTTGTATGGAACACCTTGCATTTGACCTTCAACTTCAGCAAACTCTTCATCCGTGAGCTTCACCAACTTCAAATTTGCATCCAATGGTGTTCCAATAGGCTTACACTCCTCCATGTTGAATCGTTTCAATACTTCTTCAATGTACTTGCTTTGGCTCATTGTAATGGTCTTCTTAGCATGATCTCTTACAAACTCCACTCCTAAACAATAAAGAAGCTCTCCCAAATCACTCATTTCATACTCCTTTTCTAACTTTGCCTTCAACCAATCTATCATCTTCAATGTATTGGTTAAGATGATCAAATCATCAATATAGAGGATGACAATCAATATGAACTCATTTGATTGCATCACATATAAGGAATGATCAGCCTCACTCCTTACAAATCGTTCACTCACAAAGAATGTATCAATGCGTTGGTATCATGCTCTTGGTGATTGCTTTAGCCCATACAAGGATTTTTTCAACTTACAAATAAGGTGTTGTTTGCCTTCTTCAACAAATCCTTGAGGTTGATCCATGTAGATGTCTTCTTTCAAACTTCTATTCAAGAAAGTCGTCTTCACATCCATTTGATGCATCTCCAAATCCATTGCTGCCCCAATTGCCACAATGATTCTAATAGTGGTGAATTTGGCCACGGGAGCAAATGTCTCATTGAAATCTACACCAGCAACTTGTGAGTAGCCTTTGGCAACCAATCTAGACTTGTATCTCACAATATTGCCCATTGCATCCCTTTTGGTTCTAAACACCTACTTACAACCAATTGAAGATCGATTTGGTGGAAGTTGAGTCAATTTCCATGTTCCATTGTCCATGAGTGATTTGTATTCTTCTTCCATAGCACTCTCCCACTTCAACGCATCCGTAGACTTCATTACATCACATAAACTCAACGGATCAACAAAAAGTGCAACATTAGCATGTTCTTCACTTACTTGAAGAAAGATGTGGTCCTTCCACCATTGACCACGTGGTTTTCTTTCTCTCAAAAGATATCTCCTTTCATTTGAAGAAGACCCTTCTACTTGCATTCCATCCTTCTTCTTCCTCAATGCTTGTCTTTTCTCACTCAAAGGTTGATATTCTTCATCATCATCATCACCTTCAATATCTTCATTGTCTTCAATGTTGGTTCTAGCAATTGAAGGTACACTATGATTTACCTTCTTTGGCACTTGATCTTGACTTCTATTTCCTCCATCCTCATTGTCATCATCATCTTCTTCTTCTTCTTTCTTTGCTGAACTTAAAGATGTGTTCACAAACATACCTTTACTCCCACTTGGACACTCTTCTAAGTGCTCAAAAGCATTCTTATGCTCCAAAAACTCTACATCATGACTTTTGATGATCTTCTTAATTTCTAAACACATTAGTCTATATGCTTTGGTACCTTCACAATATCCAACAAATACACATTTTGTACCTTTTGCATCAAGTTTGGACCTCATACAATCTGGACCTTACATAAGCAAGCATCCAAA